TGATTTGTTTTGCACCCTCAGATTCCAGATTTTCAAATAGTTGTATCTCGGCCAACTATTGTCCTATCATAACAAACCATACATCAATGAAAAGCTTATTTCCTAAATCTCTATTTTACCCTTATGACTGGTTTTGTGGTCCAGGGTCACATATAAATATATCTTATGTATGCATCTATAATGAATTTTATTTGTGTTTCTCTCTATTTCAGAGTTCTTTCTGGAGTTGCTGGACAACTCGGAAAAGTCGCTGAATGACATGTTTGTGCGCACATACGGCAAACTGTACACGCACAACTCGGAGATGTTCGAGGATCTGTTCTCTGAGCTCAAGCGTTACTACACCGGCGGAAATGTCAACCTGGAGGAAGTGCTGAACGACTTCTGGTCCAGACTTCTGGAGCGCATGTTCCAGCTGCTCAACTCTCAGTACACCTTCACAGACGACTATCTGGAGTGCATCAGCAAATACACCGACCAGTTAAAGCCCTTCGGAGACGTGCCGCGCAAGCTCAAGGCTCAGGTCACTAAGGCCTTCATTGCGGCTCGCTCGTTCGTTCAAGGACTCATGGTGGGTCGGGAAGTGGCCTATATATATTTAAACGCAAATATTGTATTATATTATATCATCAGCATTATTATTATTATTATTATTATTATACATTTAAATGTGTAAATATTTATTTTGATATAATTTGGGATTTTTTTTTGTCAAGCACACTTTATTTTTTGTATAAACGCATAATTTAGTGAAGCCATTTATTATTATTATTATTAAAAATTGATATTTTTTATTATTGATATTTGTTATTTATTTAGATAGTTAGTTATTGTAAACTTGTATTAGTCTTTTACACTTTGTATAAACACCATGTATATTTTGTAGAAGCTGTTATTTTGTATGTATTTTTCTGAAGGTCACTAGGTTGCATGTTTACATGAGTGTTAATGCGTCTTAACAGCACAGAAGCGCTTTGATGTGACAGCCGCGCGCTGGACAGGTTATGACATCCGTGATGAGAGATGCCCTGCGGAGCCACGGACGTTTTTCTGAAGGGAAGATAAAAGCGATCGACTGGCAGCCGCAGCGGGCATCTCTGCCATCGCTCAGATCCGCCTTTGATAGCTCGTCTCAATCACATTTTCCGCTGGATGTTTATGCTGTTTAATGGCTTACTGGATGATTAGAATAATTATTGATAGATTTGCTGCAGAAGAAGTCCAGAGAATGTAGTGAGGCAGCCAGGCCTGGCCTGTTTTACGGGCTTTTGCTGAGCTAATATGTAGATAAGCTGCTTTTGTATTTGTGTTCGTCTGTGATGGCAGAGGTATTGAGGAATGACTGTTGTTTTTGTGCGTTATAAGGACCTCTGTGACGTTCAGCATGAGAGATGAGCACATCTGTCGCAGATCACCGTTCACCTTAAGCTAGGGTTAAGGGCTGAGCAATATATAGCAAATTATATACAGGTTTCTGGCATGAAACTCTAGATGGCGCAATCCAATAGGTCTAACTCAATCTGACGTAATGACATCATTATCACATGGCACAGCTGATTGGTTATCTCCTGTATCGGTAGCCAATGAGCTCGCTGCTCAACATTCAAATATATGACTAGTGCTTGCCGTAGCAGTTGCAGCTTGCTGCAGAAACCCTCCAGCTTCCCCAGCTCCACCTGTATAGATCTGCTACGAGGTGATTCATGTACGCTATATGGGGTTATTTCATGTATGTTATATTTGCAGCAGCAATATTTCTTACATGCTCACAGCAGCATGTTGTGGATGTATTGGCAGTAGCAAGTCTCGGTGTGTGTGTGTACCTGGTTAGGACCTTGTGGGGACATTTGGTTCCCATAATGTAGGGAATTCCAGGGGGTCATTTTTTTGGTTTTGAAAATGTAAATGCAGGACGTTTTGTGTGAGGGGTAGGGTTATGGTGAAGGGGTTGGAAAATAACAAAAAAAAAAAAAAGGAAACTCAGCTTGAACCACAAAAACAGGATATTTTTAAATAAATAAATACACAATTAAATAACTAAATAAATGAGTACATATTTAAAAAAAAAATATTATAATAATTGAGATGTGATTTTCATATATATATATATATATATATATATATATATATATATGTGTGTGATAGTATTGCCCAGCCCAATCTCCAACAGGTTTATCTCTTTCTCTCTTTTATTAATTTCCTGTACTTTTAATTAACATCATAGTTCACATTTACGTTTACATTTATGCATTTAGCAGATGCTTTTATCGAAAGTGATTTGCATTAAAGGAACATTAGCCATTTGTGTTTTGTTTGTATGCATCAGACAATCGTCTGTGAACAGCTCTGAATGGCTAAAGACGTGCCTGATTTGCAGCAGCTACTTTAAAGCTGCTTTAACAACTACATAGGGATAGAAAAGACATAGATATGGTCCACATAAATGTTTGAATTGTTCTGTTTTTTTTACTTTGACAAAGTTCACATGATTATGATTGAGCAGGATTATTCTTAGCCAATCAGGCCGTATTGTTTGTAATGGCACGTCTGTCCAATCCACAGCAGTAGGGAGAACTGCAAATATATTTATTGGGTAATAACATATAATTGTCATTAGGAGAAGTGTTCTTGAGAAATGCTTACTGAGACCCCAGATTCTTGAAACAAAGAGTCTATAATTACTCTGTTGGACTCTGCAAATGTCTGCTATTAACAAAATGCATATTAGCAGAAGTTAATTTTCACCAAAATTGCACTAATCCTCAAATTTACCTTTAAATGTTTTAGCAGTGTATGCAAAAGTAATGATATGATAAGACATTTTCCTTTTAGTAAACTTCAAAAAAAAAAAAGTAGGTTTTGAAAGTAAGTTCACTAAAGGACATTGCCATCGAAATGAAAGTTGAAACTAATGCACACACTTTTAATCAACTCTGATTATTTTTGTATATATAATTCATATTGCACGTACAGTTTCAATGCCAATATCAAAGCAGGAGTCTCTCTGTCACGGAACTGCTCCTGTGTAGGAGTGCGGAACAAAGGAGCGAGGAGACGTAGGAGAATTTTACTAATTTTAATAATCAGAAGTAAACAGAAAAACACACGTAGCAAGGTTGACATGAACAATTCCAGACAAGGGAGAGCAGAACGGGCTCAAACTCAAATAGGGCAGATAACGAGGGGCAGACAGGTGATGAGGATAACTAATAACAAGGAACAGGTGATTACTAATAATGGGAAAAGGAACTGGAAGGACCAAATAAAGACAAACAGGAACACACACGTGACACTCTCAGAGAGAAGAAAGGCAAAGAGAAACAAGGACAAAATCACCTTGACCCCTCATTCACCCTTTTACACAAACATGCCACGAATGTCTGCATTCCTGTAAAACTGAACTGAATGCATGGCTTAATGGATGCATTTTACTTATTTATTATTTGTTTGTTTTGTACATATTTTATTGATATTTTTTTTTTGTTTTTTTTGCTTGTGTAAACTTTTGTGAGTGTTGATTTTAGTGTTCATTGATATTGATTATTTATTGATTTGTTAATAAAAAACGAAAACAGACAGACAGATAGACAGACAGATAGATAGATAGATAGATAGATAGATAGATAGATAGATAGATAGATAGATAGATAGATAGATAGATAGATAGATAGATAGATAGATAGATAGATAGATAGATAGATAGATAGATAGATAGATAGATAGATAGATAGATAGATAGATAGATAGATAGATAGATAGATAGATAGATAGATAGATAGATAGATAGATAGATAGATAGATAGATAGATAGATAGATAGATAGATAGATAGATAGATAGATAGATAGATAGATAGATAGATAGATAGATAGATAGATAGATAGATAGATAGATAGATAGATAGATAGATAGATTGATAGATAGATTTGTATACATACACACACACTGTATTTCCAAGCCCCATCTCAAATACTCTTTTTAGTTATGACTGGCAGGTTTAACTCTCTTGCAGTAAAAAAAAAAAAAGGTATCATTTTAATATAACATGCCAGTAATTTAAGCTTTCTAAATTATGATGTAAATTGTAAATCCATTTAATCATCAGGGTTTCATAAAGATGTTTTTTTTTTTTAAGTATACAGATGTCTAAAACCAATAATACATTTTTCTAGCTACAATAAATAAATAAATCAAAAGCTTTTTAAGTAAATTAAATGGTGTTCAAAGAAATTCAGTTTGCATCCAATCTTAAGGTACACATGAGTATATTTCTCCAGGATGCTGCAGGATGACAGACTCATATGTGAGTGTCTCTGTGCTCTCCATCACGCAGCATCACTAATGGCTGTGTTTTGATTCTCTGTGTGTTGTGTGCTAATGGACCAGGCCTGTTTTCACAGGACTCTGACCTGTACGGGGCAGGGATATCACTGACCCGATGTAGGAAACATGAAGAGAAACACGCTAAAATGTTGTCTTCATGCACGAACGCGCTCATATACCTAGCCTGATACTGTGGTTATTTTGACATTTCATTTGTAGCTCGGTTTTGCTTTGAAAAACAAGCTGTTTGTGCTTTGCTACTAATTTAAAGAACTCAATGCTCTTGCTGTTCAGATCACTAATGGTTTGTCATTAGACAGATTTCATTTTGCAATTGGATTTTTTTAAATTGTGCAAATAAACTGAAAAATAAAGGAGATAAATAAAAGGTTACAGTTTATTTTAACTTGAATAAAAAAAGTCATTAGCAAATTATTCCTTTATTGTTCCTAACAGATGAGAAGTTCATATATGTTCAAATATTAATATCTCTGAAAATAGGTTAAATACTTTTTATGTTTGAAATGTCATTCCTATTATTATATTATATTATATTATATTATATTATATTATATTATATTATATTATATTATATTATAATGCAATATAGTATAATATAATTACACTTTATTTTAACTAATAAGTAAGTCATTATCAAATATATAATACACAAAATATTAAAAGTTCATGTACTTTCAAATGTTAATGTCTATGAATTATTGAATATGAATGATTTATAATATAATAATATATAAAATACATAATTATTTACATTTATAACAGAAGTTGTTTTCATCCAATTGGAGCAACTGTTCTTATGTTTCTTGTTTTTAAGTATGTGTATTTTTAATGTCAGTGTGCAGAAATCATCTGAGACACACTGGTCTGCTCGGGAATAAACAGCTCCTATTACATATTTGGGATTAATTGCAATCTGAGGCCTCATTGCTGTTTTCCGTGAAAGAAGATTTTCCAAAAGAATATTTAGCAGATTATTATTATTATTATTTTTTCCAGAGATTTGAGGATAAAGTTATTTAAACTGCTGCAAAACAGCATTAGAGTATTTAGAGGTGTGTGTGGTATCTGATTTAAAGGAATAGTTCACCAAAAAATGAAAATGGAAATTTGCTGAAAATGTACTCTCAGGTTATCCAAGAAGTAGATGGGTTTGTTTCTTCATCAGATTTGGAGAAATGTAGCATTGCATCACTTGCTCACCAATGGACCCTCTGCAGTGAATGGGTGCCGTCAGAATGAG